ATTTAGATTACTCATTGTGGCACAATTAGCATTTTAATTTTAGTGATTTTTTTAAAAAATTTCAACTGTCCGGTGACATTTGATACCCCACTGTACATGATTCAGAATAAAAATAAAAATACAGTACAAAAACAATTATCTTTTTTTTTGATTTTTTTCTTGTATACGTTGTCTAGTTCTTCACATATTATTACCCTATCTTTTAATAAACCTACAATTACTCCAATTACTTTTTAATGCCCTTTCTGATTGATTCAATATCTTTAATGCTGTTTTGGATAATCACTTTTGCTGGCACAATATAGCCCTTCTGCACTGAGTTTGATAAAATGCTATTCTATAGCTAAAAAAGGATAATTAGAAAGTACATAATAAAATTCATACATTCTGTTAACTATTGATTTTAAGAGAAATATGCAATATTATAAATTTTAAATCTTTTTATTCATGACTTAGCAAAGTTCTAATTCTCAATAGACGAATTGTATATTTATCAAAAGTCGGATTTAACATTTTTGGTTGAAACGAAATTCCTGTTCAATTTTTTAAAAAAAAACTTTGGATCAGTTATTGTGTTACAATCAGCATTGAAAAGTTTTAATGATTATTTTAAATAAAAAAAAAACCACTAATGAGTGTACCATTATTATTATATTATTATTAATTTACTATTATTATTATTATTATTATTATTATTATAATTATTATTATTAAACAAAATACATCGAATTCTCAATATCAGTTTTAATTCTTTCACACGTGGCATCGGTATATTTACTACAACCACCACCACCTCGACCTCCTGAACCTGAAGATTTATTGTCTCCATCCCATATTACAAAATGTTTTGCTTGATTCGCAATATGATGAGCATAATGTACAGGTGTAACATGAGATATGGCAAGATTGCACCTAAAAATTATAAATTAAAAATTATATATAAAAGAAAATAAGATTATGAAGAAAGATAGAAATAATTACCTAACAGATAAATGACATAATTTATATGTCAAGATTTGCATTGCATCAGCCGGGAAATTAGCTTCATTAACTAACACGTGATAATGAGTAGGACGAGCAGTTCCAAGTGGACTTGCGTGAGATTGTAAGTCTAGACATTTAAGAATATTTTTTTAAAAATTATAAAAATAAAGATAATAAAATAAAATATATAAATTTGTAAAAATTTGTATCGCACTTACAGAAATCAAATTCTTGGGGTACTACAACTGCTGTATCGACCACTGTACCAGGTTTACAATTTCCACTACGATCTGCATCAGTATGTTGAACTGGCATAAATCTACATATAAGAAACAATTGATATAATATTATAAACTATACTATACTATACTAATCCTAACCCTAATCCTTTAATATAATATTTACCTAGCGTGATGACGTTTCTGTACAATAACAAACGTAAGTTGTGGCCTTTGATGTGCTTCATATACTCGAGAAAAAGCTCGTTTCATTGCTTTAACTTCTTTATCTAGAACATGTTCAAATTGTCCTTCCGCTACTCCATCACGATAGAATACAATTTGAAATGGAAGAATGTTATTTCTTTTCTTAAATTGTTGTAATAATTCTACCGCCATTCCTTCCAAATTTTCTATGGTTTCATTCTTAATTTCTCGATTCATGCTATATCGTCCAATATATTTTGTTACAGTTTTATCCATTGATGCACATACTGCTGCAACACTTGGTCGTCCTTTTTCTTCTCGACCTGGATGGAAAACATCGGCACCAAATACCATATACTAAAATGGAATTATGAATATTTATAGAGCGCGATAGAAATTATAGAAATTGTAAAATTGTAAAAATTTCAAAAATTCCTTACTGGTCGATTTGTTCCAAAATTAAGTTCTCTCTCAGCTAACGCACAATTCTTTCCTCCTAATTTTCCATTGATTTTTAGTGCAAGATTTCCACAAATTTGTTTCCAACGATTAGGTGTAGGACCTTTCATATTTGATGCAACAATACATTGTGAAATTACACCTAATTGAGTACCACATATACGTTTAATAATTGCATGAATCCCTGATGATCCTTGTACTTTCTTTTGAATAATACAAATAATCAATTGTGCAGGTCTTTCCCTATATATTCGTGCTTTCTCTGCTGCAATTGCAAGTGTCTATAATGTAACAAATATGTATATATATATATTTATAACAATAAAAAATATAAGTATGTATGAAAAATAAACAATAGCGAAAATATAATATAATATTATTGTAACCTTATCGAAACCGCCTTGAGGATTCCCGTACTCAATTAGCGGTTCCGTAGAAACATTCTATAAAAAATTTATATATGAAAAAGATTAATAAGAAAATATTTAATAATTTATTATAATATATAATAGCATAATACATACCATTCCTTTTTCAATTAATGAACTTCGTAATTGTTTAATAGCAATTTTCACATTTTCCATTGGAGCAAAATTTTTATTCTCAAAAACTACTACTGCCCAATTATGCAGTCCTGCGCACTATGCAGAAAATTTATAATAAAAAATAATTAATATTAATAATATTAATTAATTATATTTAGTTAGTGAATTAATTGATTTACTTCTGTGAACTTCTTCAAGTCCCATCTTCCTCCATCAGGAATTATATTTCCTCCAGTTGTAATTAAATTTGGAGGTGCGAGTACGCGACCTAGATTAAGAAAATTCCAGATTATATTTAGTCAAATAATTTAAAATAATTTAAATAGATTTTAAAAATTTTGTTCATTTAATAACCTTTGAGTTGAATAAATTTGGGTTCTACATGCATTCCAATAGAACGCAAATTTTCATCTTTTTGATGATTAAAAACACCATTAATGCCGCTTAATATTCTCTGAAATCTATCGGCTGGTTTCACAGCCGTCTTCTGTACCATATCTCTACGTGCATCATCTGAGAGAGGTTTGTCCTCATATTTTTGACCTGCAAATATAAAAATTTAAATTTAAGGATTACTGTTGATTATTTGTTATTAATAGATTATTCATAGATTATTTACAATTATTTTGGAATTCTGAATAAATTTGTAATCCAAAAAAAAAAGAAATTACCAGTTGTCAATTCACAAAATTCCAGGGGGAAAAATGATTTTGATCTATCTTGAGGTTTTATTACTACAACACATGGAAGCCGTCCATATTGTAAAGGTTTTCCATACTGTTCTTTGAAATATTGACTAACAGTAATATCTCGATTATCTTGTTTAAATTTAGCTATATCAGCTGGTTCACTCGTCAAGAATGAAACCTTATATTTTGGTTTACGATTATCACCACGATGAGTAACGCAGACCATAGAGCCTTTAAGATACCAATTTAGAGCATCAATTTCCCGTTTTTCGAGTCCCCTTCTTAATTCGTCTCGAGTCTTTTCATGTTTATCACGAGGATGTTTTAAAATTTTTGGAACTACATCGATTAAAGGTCCTTCCGGATAAAATGTAGTTGCACATATATCTACATTTATCACTAATTGATCTAATAATAATATTTAGATAACATTTTTTATAATAAAATAGTAAATATTATTATCATTTAGAAATATATATATATATCTTTAGTTTTTAGTAATAATAATATTACTCACTCCAACCCGGTCTTATAGATTGATAAAATCCTTGTTTCATTTCAATTCCTCCTGGTAAATAAGTTGGTTTACTATCAGTTGCCGTAGGAAATATTGCTTTCTTTCCAACGGATAAATGTCTTGAACGAACTTTAAAATTGGTATAAGCATTCAAAACAGTTAAATTATTTTGAATGCTTCCATCCCAAGGTTTCTTGGACCCAATTTTAATGTATTCCCCTATATCTCGGAGATTGATTGTGCCTTGATATTTCATTTCAACTTTGAAATGCTTTGCACGACCGGATCCATCTGAATCTACTGGAATTGTTACCTAAAAAAAGAAAATGGAAATATAAATTTATTTATCATTATTCATTTATTCCATTTATTCGCGTAAAAAAAAAAAAAAAAAAATTAAATGAAAGTAAGGTAAGTAAGAAAGTAAGGTAAAATAGTTAAACTTACCTCATGACTACGTGTAGAGGTACTATGACCAATCGTTAGTTCGGTAAATGAATATACTTGACCACCGTCATATACAGGTAAATTATTTGCTCCGAATTTCTTTTTTAATTTCATTTCAGCAAAAACTTTATCGGAATCTTTTCTTCCTGCCTTTTTCTTCTTATGATCAGTAATGTCAAACGAATAATAATGAACGGTTGGGAACTCAAACTAATAAATTAAAATAAGAAATTTATAAAATTTTACATATTATCTTATCTTTTTTTAATATTAAAAAGTGTTTACATTATTTCTGAACGCGTTTTTATACTTTAGTAACAGGTATAAAATTTGCTCTAAGCTCTATAACAGCTCCGGCCTTTGCTGCTTGTGTTGGTCTTTTGGCAATTACAATCTTTTGTTGTTTTGGTGGTGGTGGCATTGTGGTCGGCTTTCCTATTGTTTGTACGGTAGATTTCATATTGAATATTTATAATAAACTAAAATATATATATATGAATCTATGATAAAATATATTAAAGTAAAAAATTACATTAGCATTATGTGTTAAATGAGAGTTGATATGTGTAAATTGAGTATTAAGACGCGTTCTCTTTAAAGTAATCGCGTCTTTTTATTAAATTCATTATTATACTTTTTTAATAAGCTTAGAAGAGTAAACGCTAGTTAATTAATCAAAAGTGTTATTTCTAACCTTTTTCCACCTGGAATTTTATGAATAACAACTATGTCAATTAATTAATTCGACGAAAATTGAAAAGGCACTTAAGAAAAATCCCTTTTTGATTAAAAGAAGTTTATCAAAATAAATTCAAATTATTTTTTGTTTGCAACAAATTTAAGTAACAATTTTTATCTGTATCTCCTGCATTCGTGTCATGTTGGATAAGAACAATTTTAGTCAAAGCCACATGTGAATTTCTGAAAAAAAAAATGCCCTGACACGTAACAATAACAACCAAACTTTCAAAATGTAAACAGATCAGTTCGACCAATTAAAAACTGTAAAGAAAACGTGATAATTTAAATTTTTTCATTTATATTGATTAAAAGTGAGAAATTCCCTTATTATGTAATTGTAATATAAGTTTATAATAATAACAATAAATGTAATTGTAATATAAGTTTATAATAATAAATATAATTGTAATATAAGTTTATAATAATAAATTAAGGTAAATTTAGACTCAAATAAATTAATTTAAGATAATTTAGATTAATTAAATTTAATTTCATCAAAAATCATAAAAGATTTAATGATTTAGTAATTATTGTAAATCACAATTAACAATTAGTCGATAAATTTGCACACTGTAATCAAAACAAAATAAAAACAATTCAAAAACATCAAAAAATTAAGGATTTTGCAGAGCTCAGGAAACCAAGATATAATATACCAAAAAAAAAGAGCAAACTTTTAGAGCTAAATAAAATATTCTAAATTTATCATTTTGTATAGTTACCAATTTCAGTATTCATTGACAATCTATTTACATTCTCGTAAGCCATAATAGAAATCAATATTAGAAGTAGTTTTAAAGAGATTAGTTTCGCTTTGAAGATTTACTTTAATCTTTCTAGGTAAAAAAACTATGACTTGCATGCATTCAATTCGAAAAAGTCATTTCCAGAAAGATTATTACTTTCACCATCACACACAAGTTGAATTTATATAAGTTAAATTTATAACAATTTAATTGATGTTTTTAATTAGAAATTTGTGTACCATTACTTATTACTATTATTATCATTATCATTATAAAATTTGATGGTGGGTTTTCTAATAATGGAAATTTTAAATATTATACTTTTGGTATCATTGCAATTCTTGTTATATAAAAAACTTATCGTCACAGTAAAGTATCTTGAAATTCTTGATATATAAAAAACTTACAGTCACCGTAATTACTAAATGATCTATCATTTGACAACTTGAATCATTTAAAATAAAATAATAATAAGACAAGAAAGTTGAAAAGATATTTATTATATTTTGAATATTTTTAACCAAATTAGTAAATAAAAAATCATTGATCAACTTTAATTCGTGCTAAGATTTACTAAAAACATACATATCATCATTGATTGACTGCTAAGATTTACTAAAAATTATTTTTATTTTTTTCATTTTTGACGTTGTAGTGGTCTGCGCAGAACAATGTGGAAAGTTACGCAAATCAGTCTCAATACGTTTAGGATAATCACACGATAATTCAATGTACACTCACCTAGCAAAAGTATCCGACCACTTAAAAATTATTAATTACAAAGTAAATTTTTATCCGTTAATAAC